CTGTAAGATAGCTTCCCACCCATTGAAGCAGAGAGCCAGAGATGCCAAGTCTCTCTAGTTTTTTGATCAGGACTCTGTCAAACGCCTTGGAGAAGTCGGTGTATATAGTATGTACCTCCTCACCCCTCTCCAAGGCGCCTGTCAGAAATTCAGAGTATGTGAGAAGATTAATTTCCGATGATGACTTCCTTTCGAAGCCAAACTGCTCGGATATAATTTCGCTGCTCAAAGATGATGATAAAAATTTTGTGACAATATTCTCAAAGATTTTCGGAATTGCACTGATGATGCAAATTGGGCGATAATTAGTCACATCTGATGAGTCACCGGATTTAAGAATCGGCACCACATAGCTGGCTCTCCAATACTCAGGGAAGAAGCCGTCAGCCGTCCCTCAGGGACTTGTAAATTATATGCAAGGGTCTGGACAAAACAACACAGCAGTTTTTCAGAAAGAGCGGGTGGATATGGTCAGGCCCTGGTCTCTTGTTTGGGTCGATGTTATTTACCTCCATGTAGATGTCAGAGATAGGAATAGTGAAATCAAATAAATTGTGAGGAGATAGAGGAAGTTGATCTGGGAAATCCAATACTTGATCAGTATAGACTGAACCAAAGTATTCGGCAAAGAGTTCGGCAGCTTGGGGACCCATAGCTGCCGACTTACCATTATGTCTAAAACTTGAAGGAGGCTTACTCGAGTTTTGTATAGATTTGGTATAGAACCAGAACTGTTTTGGGTCACGCTGTAATGCCGATTCAGTTTCAATTAGGTATTCACGAAAATTCTCCCTAGAGAGCAGATTGCACTATGAGCGCAAGTCAGAAAATGCCAGATAAACCGAAGGTGGGCGACTTGGTTTATATTTTTTTCTGTATAATGAGTGCCTTCAAATCCTGTGAGAACCATTTGGGAAACCTTCCACTTGCTATTCTTTTAACAGGTACAAAGAGACCAAAGGCTTCATATAAAAAACTATAAAGAATGTTAATCGTCTCATTCACAGACTTGTTCAAACGCAGCTCATCCCAGGAAATAGAGCCAAGAAAATAGTTTATGTCGTTGAAATTTGAGGCTTTGAAGTCATAATGGTATCCATCTCCCTGTGGATATGAATTGCAGTGATTCTGTTGCAGTGTGGCTTGAAACAACAGGGGTGGATGGTTATTATCCGACGGAAACAGGTAGTCATCTTCATCTGGCTGAGTTATAGGGATCCTTGAGTGGCAGAATATCAAGTCAAGGGTGACATTGATATTATAAATTTTATTAAGCTGGTATAGATTGTGAAAAGCACATACTTCTGACATATGTTGTATTTTATTGATTTCAGTAGAAGCAAGGTAACCCTCCATATTATGAGATTGAAATTCCCCATGATGCAACATTTAGTATGGCTGAATTGTTCAGAGATATCTTCCAAGTTGTTACTAAAGCTTTAGTACTTGTCAATTGGGGAGTTTGGTGGAAGGTATACGCAGCACAGGACCATTTTTTTTCTACCACTGCCTACAACGACAAAAACTTGCTCGATGTCACCTATTGCACCAATGAGACGGGATGGTATTGACTGATGAACAGCGATCAGGACACCACCAAGGCACTCAGCAGTGCTGGTAGCCCTTGAGCGATCACATCGAAACACATTGTATGATTCAAAACCAAGCTCTGCAGTGTAAAAGTTTTCACTTAAACCAGTTTCAGTGAAGGCCACTTATTGATAGTTATTCACAGCTATATTGCAACGAAGTTTGTCCAGCTTTGTTCTGAGACCGCGAACATTCTGGTAGTATATGTCATAACTTACTGGTTTTCTTCTACGTTTGGTTTGGTGCTGCTGAGGGTTGACCCCTCAGGGTTTTTTTTGGCACGATTCGAGGAATGCCCTTGACGAGTTTAACTTGTATGTTCTGCTCACCCTGATCCTGGCGTCTTTTCAGATCCTCCAACATTGTTCTTTCAAGTTCTCTCTGTGTAAGTGTCAAATCACACTTTATGTAGATTTGTTTGCCCTTGAGTTTATGTCGATTGCGAAGTGCAGTCTGAACTTCATATGGTGATCCCGATCCCAATACAGCTCGCATAGGGCATTCATTATTTGAGTTGGGCTTGGCAAAGCGAGACACCCGACAAAGCGTAAATTGAGTGCCAACCAGTAACTGTAGTATAGAGCGAACCTCTGAAAAATCATCTTCTGACGCAGATAAGTTGAAGAGTAGTAAATTATTAGCTTTACTCTGACGGTCATGAAGTTCAGTTAGCAAATCAATAGATGGATTGGAAGGTGGTGGTGAAGTCGTTGAAGGAACCTGTTGGGTCGGTGTATTTGTGGTAATAGATTCCAAGCGAGTGATTCTTTCCTCAATAGAGGTTGTAGCGGCGACCACAGACTCTTGAATTAACGTTAATAAGTTATTTTGTAGATCCTCAAGAGATTTTTCAAGTTGTTCCATACGATCCATTAGGCCCAGTATTCGCAGGGATATCCAAAGAGTTCGTTTTTCGATTTATTGGGTTCTTTAAAAATTACTGCTGCATTACAGGTGCTGCATGAACCTGACATTTTAGGTTATCCCAAAATTTTTGCAATCCCTTGACTTTATTGCGGTTTTTTTTATTCGCAAACGGATACAAGCACTCAGACAACACACTGGCGTGGTATTTGCATTCGATTTTGCAGGAGATAATGAAAAGAGAAAACTTCTAAAATTTTACTTATTGTTTGTAGACAAAACTTAACCCTGTAGGTAAATCAAAGTCAGGAAATTTAACATAGTTTGAAAATCCCAAAAAGAGGGCCATAAATTACAGGGATTTTAAAGTGAAAAAGGGGAATTTTCGGAAAAATAGTTAATTTAATAACAGACTAAAAATAATGAAAGCAGTTTCACAGTTGTTTTAACAGGAGAAACTATTCAAAATTTTATCGATAATCTTTATTCCAAATTGGAAGATTGAAATAAGTAAAATAAATCAGACAACTTTCGAAGTCCACGAGTGATAACAGCAAAATTTAAATATCTTAAATTAAATCCCATTAATCAAAGTTATGATTGGAAAGTAATAAAGTGAATAAAATACTCTCAATAGTCTAAATTGGAATTCTCTAAGTTCAAATTAAAATAATAATTAACGTAGTTATCTGTTTCGCTGCTTAAGCCAGCGATGAAGGTAAAAATCTAATCTAACAATTATTATACGGAACCCCCTCTATAGTCATGTACTCATCAGTTATCTTTACCGAAGGCGGTCCGAATGAAATATTTACGCAACCGGAAGTCACGAGATTCCTGACCCTCTATATAAACTCATAAAACTAAACACCAAACGACATTAATTACAAGGCTAACTTTTTTAATTGTGTACACGCGCTGTCGGCATTTTTGAATAGCGGAAACGGAAACGAAATTCTTGCGACATTACTCCGATAAATTCTAAATTAGGACACACAGGTGCAGGGGTCAATCGGAAATAACGATTCCTAGAAATAGAGGCAATGAACTTAAACTCACGCGGAGATTTATGGTGGGATTGAATAATATTCAAACAGATCATAATGAGAGGAAGGGGCAATTTAAAATTTCCCTTACATTTAGAAGCTACAGTATCTACAGCAGTTGATTCATAGTAAGATAGTAGAAAACAGTAGAAATTGGCAGTGATTTGTGTCTCCTCCAAAAAGTTGTTATCTTTATTTCTGCTTCGGACCTAAATTAAATTTGCGATTTAATTGACTATATTGACAAGTTGAGAAGTTAGAAGTAAATTCAAATCCTATATTCGATTTTGTGCGTGCTAAGCAATTAAAAACAAAAATACTTTGATAGTTAGAGCCAGTGTAGTAAAGTTAATGACAATTATCATAGTAAGTAAATATAAGATAAGAAGACTCTTATTCGAAATTAATTGCAATGACTTTGAATGTGAAATGACTATGGAACATTATTGCAAAAATTTAATTGACTTTGAATGAAATGACTTTTGAATATTTTTGCTAAGAGTTTAAATAGGAAATTATAATGCACTTAATGATTGCTGATTAGTAGAATGAATTTATTGAAGATTTTGAATTGAATTTGACTATTGAAGATTAAGGGCTAGTAGTTAATTAAAAGAATTTAAATAAATTGTGTAATGTTGACCTGGAATTTGAAAAATAATATTGTCCTGGTTAAGTATATGATTCTTAGTAAAAGTTTTAATCAATAAAAGAAGTGATAAGTTTTAATTAACATGTTTTGTACTTGAAGTAAGATGGTTATCTAAATTGCTGAATTTTTGATTAAAGGTGTAATCAGTTAGAATTATTGAAAGGATTTAATTAAAATAATGTTCGTATTTAATAATTAATCTGACTAGGTTCATGATATAAATAACTTTTTGTATAAGTTTGTCAGTAAATGACTTCAGGGGTTTTAAAATTTATAATTAAAGGTAATGGTAGTTTTATTTAAAATATATATCAAATTCAGTTAGTATTGTGTAGAAGAGTAAATGATTTTGGTTATAAGATATTGAGAGCATCGAAGTGAGGCTTTATAAAAAGAATAATTCAAGTTTCGAAAAATAAATGAAGAATCTTGTATCTAGGATGTTGAAGATTGAAAAGTGTTGTAGTAAATTGAATTAGCAAACATAGAGGTGGCTGTAAGACTTTGGAAAAAATTAGTTTCATTACTCTGTACTGGCAAATTGGGTTTTGATTATTTAAGTAAAATAAAATATAATTGAGTAAACCTTACTACAGTTGTTTCTCTCATTTGCGAATAGACCCCCTCCATAATTTTATTATGGCTCAAGGACCATCAATAAAGCCGCTCGCTATTTACCATCTAACTAATTAAAAGAGTACTTGGGCGGACGGATACAATAGGTATGTAATAATCACTTGAATGCCGTAAGAAGCTATGTATCTAAATGACACCTGGAAACGTTATGGAGATGTTGAATATTTCCGAGCCATTCGAAAAAAAATCAGCTTTAAAAGTAAAATACTTACTGATTAAAGGTGTTTTCTCAGTCGGCGGAAGAGTTTCTCGAATAGTCATCAGAAACACTGTCATCGACAACAAGGCACTGATTCCTAGAGTTACCTTTTCACCAGATTCAGAAGGGACGTAAAATACTAGAAGAGCTGAAAAAACAAATAAAATTCCTAGTCAGTTAGCAAATAAATAGAAGACGAATTCGTCAGACTAGTGTCGAATACGTAAACGATTAAATGAATTGCACCCCAGCGATTACCCTCAAACAAAAGGTCGAAACGAAAATGTATTTGGAGGAAAAATTCATATATTTCATGTCGCTAATTTATCAGAAACTCACTTTACTTTTAACCTGGAATTTGATATTTCCGGCCTACTTCATATAGGAATTATTCCAAATGTTATAAATGAAGATAATAAGTGCGAAAACGAAAACGAATATGGACCAGGATTACGTACGATCTATTTATCTTCAAAATGGAAATTAATTTATTATTTTTCATTGTAGAGGTAGCTATCCCCTATTTTTTTACTAGCGTGAATCAATGTGTAAACTATACCGGGTGGTCCTCCGGGAATGACATCGATTGCTTATGGGAAAACTGTGAAAGGTAAAAATTTGAAAATTTGGCAACATAGCAATGTCGATGGGGGACATCCAGGTAAAATATTTTCAAGATGGCGGCATTTCCGGTCATACCGGAAGTTGATACCAACTCGGTTATTTTAAATAGAACACCCCATATATTAATGTATTTTTGGATTTTACATAAAATTCTGAGCAGATTTCATGTAATATACCCTATACCTAAGTTCAACTGTTTTGGAAATATTGACAGTTGAAAATTGACTTTTTGCAACTTTGACAAGCTGTAAAACCTAATTGGTTAATTTTAGAGGAAAACCGATTTCACATTCCTATCTTAGATTTTGATAAACTATCATTTGACACCAACTTTGAACTTAAACGGAGATTAAATTTAACTGAAATTTTTAATCATGGATTTAATTCAAAGTTGATGTCAAATGATAGTTTATAAAAATCTAAGATAGGAATGTTAAATCGGGTTTCCTCTAAAATTAATTGTTCAGGTTTTACAGCCTGTCAAAGTTGCAAAAAGTCAATTTTCAACTGTCAATATTTCCAAAACAGTTGAACTTAGGTATAGGGTATATTACATGAAATCTGCTCAGAATTTTATGTAGAATTCAAAAATACATTTATATACGGGGTGTTCTATTTAAAATAACCGAGTTGGTATCAACTTCCGGTATGACCGGAAATGCCGCCATCTTGAAAATATTTTACCTAGATGTCCCCCATCGACATTGCTATGTTGCCAAATTTTCAAATTTTTACCTTTCACAGTTTTCCCATAAGCAATCGATGTCATTCCCGAAGGACCACCCTGTATAATTATTTGGCCGAACGACGAACAACCCCGACGCCTCGGGGATCCTGATCTCTGGCACTTGTCGCTAGGATAAAGTAGTAGAAAACTGGATTAAGATAGCTGTGTTCAGATATTTCTTAAACACAAGCAATTCCCTCATAAATCAGGCCAGATTACAGTCCAGACAAAAGCTTTCTAATAGATCCAAATATATTTATTCATTTCTCACATTTCTGGCTTTTCGTAATTTCGAAATTTACCGATAACTAGGCGAAAGGGATATCATGTAAATTTTAATTAATTAGTTTCTTCCGAAAATCTTCATTAAAGACGGATTTAGCAGAAACATTAATCCTTAGGGATGCCATAATATTTTATGCGGAGGAGGAGTTTCATTCAATAATATTACTTGTATCCTTAGTTCTGAGTAATTGAAGCTTTTGGAATTACCAAATAGAGTATAAACTGTATAAAATCCACGGTGATTTAGAGCTAATTAAAACTCCAATCTTTCTTTTAATTACTATGGAGCAGGGTTTCGGTAACGGAGCATAAATAGAAAAATAGACATTAGGGTTGATAAAAAAAAATGAAAATTAATACTTACCGATACCATTGATCAGTATACAAGGCAATATCAAGTTGAAAACGTAAAATAGAGGCCTACGTCGTATTTTTATTATGTAAGTTATGTCCGGGTAGGGCTCAGAGCAGCAGGAATAATACTCTATGTGCTTCACAGATGAAAAACTAACTAAATCAAACTCGCCATTGGCCTGGTAGTTACTGACGTCACCTTCCTCGGTTTGTTTGACGATATCAATCTGGAAATAAAAGAGATGCTTGAGAAGTTACTGGGGAAAAAACTATCTATAGACTATTTCTTTCATTACTTTTCGGACTATTCAACAAAATGGGTGTTTTTTTTTCTGTAATTTTTTGGTGTTATATACATTGAAGATTTTGTCTGGAGTTCCATTGGGAAATTTTGATGCTTAAATAAGTAGGAAAGTATTTGAAAATTATATTTGATGGGTTCTCTCGTTCCAATAAAAAAATACCTCCTACTTACATCTAGTAAAAGGTAAAAAATATTTTCTTCTATCGCAAGTAAAAACAGCTCTAACAGTTGGAAATACTTTAATACTACTGTGGTATTAGAATGTATTACATTAGTAAAGGTTCCATTTAATTTTTATCTTTGAAAAAATTGAAAATTAAAAATTATATACCAGCCAGTAATTTCAAGTAATTTCAATAACATCAAGTTACCCTTAAAATTAATAATATATTTGCAAGTTTCCGCTCTATTCGTGTATGCATACATAACTTAAGGCGGTATAGTACACCATTGTTTTTAAGACAATTACGGTTAATGGACATAAATTGGTGGCTAAGATTCAAAGTTTCGTAATCGACATTGGTATTTCGTTAATTTAGCTTAACTTCGTATCGATTCGAACATGGAAATTGAAGCAAAAGCTGTCTGGTATAAGCCTCTTAGTTCAAATAGAGACGTCAGGTGCAGCCTTATCCTTATTGCCCATCAAATTTTCCGTTCCGAGAATAATAACCTTTCTTGAAATATACCTACTTAGACATTCTCGTGAAACAAAATATACTATCAATATATCGGCCATAGCATGGGTTTTGCTGTTTCCATGATTCAAACATGTGACATTATACATTCAATAATGCATAATTCATACGTGTCACTGAAACAATATTACACAGAGACATTCAATACATGTTCCAATATTTCTCATATATATCTATATATAGAACGAAAATGAGATGCAAACCTAGATAAGCTTGTTAAAAAAAATATAGCAAGCCAACTATTATCGACAATTAGTCGGAGATAATTATTGATGACCATGTTACCTAATAAAGCCAGTGATCATTTTAGACTAAAGTCCATAGTCGTGGAAAAGCTAACATAAGAATAAACAGAATTTTAACAACGTTAAGAAATAATTAATGCAGACAGTTGTTGCTTTAATGGAACTGAACAAGCTAAATTTGTTTCCAGTGCAACAATTTCAAAGCTAATTGCACAATGATAACATTTGCCATTTTCAGCAGACTTATGGCGTTTGAAAGTTTGGTAAATAAGTTATGGAAATTGGTCTAAATAATTTGATAGTTTGCTTAATTGCCTCCAGGCACATTCTCGAATTTGAAACAATAATTAATTAGGTCATAATGCAAAATATAAATATTTTTTTTGTTTTGAGTTTCCATTTCAAGTTTGAGTAACCTCCTATCAGTAATATGAAAAATCGAGGAAAAAAAATGATATAAGTACCTATCTGATTATCTTGATTTGCCAAAGTCAACTTAAACAAACAGGACGAAACTCTCTTTGGCTGTGGGAAAAATTGAAAGTTAACTCTGTTATGCCGCAGGATTCTACAATGCCAACCAGTCCTCTTGCCCTAGTTACATCCATTGCTAGGTCTGCTACGACTGATCAAGATATTTGTACTTAGTGTAAGCCAATTAAGGATAAAGTAAATATGAAATACTTTTGAAACATCAAGATCTTGAACAGGCTACAGCGGTACCGCTGCATCATTAAGTACATCTTCATAATCCTTTCTGAAGAAATTTGATATTGAGAGTATAGACTGTAATTATTGCCTAAATTTCCTAATTATTGTACAGGGTGTCCGAATTTGGATGGTTTTAATAGGAAACGTCAATTTCTGAGCCAGATACAAAAAAATGAACCCCCCACTCCGAGGCTCAAATTTCTTGAAATTTTGATTGGTGCAAACCGCATTTTGATATCTTCAACCGTTTAGCCGCTAGAGGGCGATTCTCAATTTTGAGCAATACTGTAAAATCTTCATAACTTTTTTGTTTATGAAAATAACTGATTTCCGTAAAAACTTCCTGGAAGCACTTTTTCAAGCAAAATTCAGTGACGTTTTCAGTTTTTTTCTATTCGGCCTCGATTTCAAGATATTGACCAAAATACGATTTTTTTAAATGGGACACCCTATATATTAATAGTTCATTAGAAAGCTCTGCTTTTGCTGATTTCAATGATACAAATTTCGATAGGTTTATCTCTAACAGTTTTCGAGAAAAAAAATATTTCGGCTTTTGTCATAAGAAACAATGAGTTAGAAAGAGACCTTTCTCAGTTTCCTTACAGATATAAAGTCCTTTTCTAACACATTGCTTCTTATGACAAAAACCGAAATAATTTTTTTTCTCGAAAACTATTAGAGATAAACCTATCGAACTTTTATCATTGAAATCAGAAAAAGCCGAGCTTTCTAATGAGCTATTAATATATAGAGTGTCCTATTGAAAAAAACCAGACTTTGGTCAATATCTCGGAGTTGGGACCAACTAGAAAAAAACTGAGAACATCACTGAATTCTGCTTTAAAAAGTGCTTCTAGAAAGTTTTTACGGAAATCAATAATTTTCATAAACAAAAAAGTTATGATGGTTTCACACGAGGTTTCACATTATTGCTCAAAATCGAGAATCGCCCTCTAGCGGCTAAACGGTTGAAGATATCAAAATGCGGTTTGCACCAATCAAAATTTCAAGAAATTTGAGCCTCGGAGTGGGGGGTTCATTTTTGTGTATCTTGCTCAGAAATTGATGTTTCCTATTAAAACCATCCAAATTCGGACACCCTGTACATGAGTTTAATTTTTTTCATTATTTGTCTTTATATAGACCGCTATTGAGTAATCTTGAAAAATTTCTAAATTATTGCGTTTTGGATTCCCTATATCAGCAAAGGGACTCCTGAGAAATGAGACTGCCAACGTCAGTGCTGCCAACTAACTCACTGACATTTTGTAACCTTTATACAGGGTGTTCGGCGGAGAATTAGCCAGACTTGGTGGGCGTATAGATAGGCCCATTTCGAAGATATTTTATTAATACAATTGTGGCCTTAAGCTCCATTTTTTTTTCATAATTTTTCCACAAGAATTTTCAAAAATAAACCTTTTAACTTCTGTAACTTTTTTAAAAATATTTATGAAAACGTTTGTTGCGTGTGTTTTCGGTCTGTAGGCTATCCTTGATAATATCAGAAAGTTAAAAGGTTACAGAAGTTAAAAGTTTAATTTTTGAAAATTCTTGAGAATAATACAAAAGCAATGATATAAAAAAAAACGGGGACCTTAAGGGCATTAGTGTATTAAGAAAATATCTTCGAAATGGGCCTATCTATACGCCCACCAAGTTTGGCTAACCCTCCGCCAAACACCCTATATATTTGTTAACAAACCGACAAGTAAAACAAATTACTCCACCACAGCAATCGATTATATCTGCAGTAATATTGAAGAAACCGATCTCAGTTATAAAGTATTCTCAGGTAATAGCAAAGCAACTGATAATGTTATACTAAGATAAGAAAGTGAATGTAACGAAAGAAACAAAAGTTTTTAGTAGGGTAACAAACCATATAAAAAAACGTCAATTTGGATATTAACTCCAGGGATTTAAATAACCTCTGCCGTACTAAAGCTATAGTTTACTTTTTTATTTACGACTAATGTATAATGTGCACATTATATTTGTTATTTTGGCAGTATAATGACATATGTTATTCCTCCAGGGATTAATGACGAGTAGCGGGAAAAAATGGTCATTATTCCACAAAAGTGTCAGTGTCAAACGTGTAGTGGTTGTGGATTTGTATTGAAAATTATGAGACGAATGAAATTTGTTCATTGAAAATCTCAAATAAATTAATTTGTCGTACCTAAATAAAGTAGAGTATACTACTCGCAATAATGGCTATTATTCCCTCGGAATGTTACTCCCTCGCCGCAAACGCGGCTCAGTTCGTAATAATCCTCGGGAATAATAGCTATCATTATTGACTCGTGGTATAATCTACTATTATATCCTACTGGACTATTATAACCATATAATACCTTGGTTACGATTATCATAAACAGGGTCTTAACTCCCGCTCTTACTTTAGTGGATCGGTAAAACTGAGAAAAAATAGAAATTTCGGTTAATGGTATATTCCCTCAAAAAAATACAGTAAATTCAGTAGGAAATAAAACTATCTATGTAAATACCACTGGATTTATCAGGTGTTAATACCCACGGGTAATTGGCAATTGGTGTCCCTCGGGCCGGGTATTACCACCCTCATAATTCCCTCGATACATAAATACCTATAATTTGTGAATGATACTACCCCACTGATCTCAAAAATAAATGGATAAATAATCGTACGGCTTGATTGGCTAAAATTGTGCGAAAATTTGGGGTCAGTAATAGTCAATATTCTACGAATAGTTGTGCAACGGAACAGCCTAATGCCTGCACAGTGTCTTATCTTTCGAACAACTGTTCTAAGTTTCGAAATTCCTTCATTTTCATTGGCTATATTTTGCGCACGCACAGTACATGAATCTACTGCGCACGCTCACAGCGGTCCCAGTTGTTTACATTATGACCTCGTAAATTAGCAGCATTAGAAGCGTTCTTTGTTTATCCATTTATTTTTGAGATCAGTGTACTACCCGTAGGCATAGGCGCAGGTAGAAGATGTTCAACAATAATTATGATCTGCTTGCAGTCTTATCAATATTTCGTTAATTTTTCTTTTTATGTAGGCACAGGCACGCCAATGAACTAAATATGTATATTAAATGCATTAATCTACGTCGGTGTTAATATGACACATTTAGCATTGTCATTTGAATGTCATTAGGTCCTTCATAAAAGCACTAGTGCGTTTAAGAAATCATAAAAACACACAAATTATGAAATGAAAAATATACAAAAAGAAAGTTAGGTACCAGAAGAACCTTTTCATTGATGCT